ATTGGCGTGGTGCGCTTGAGTATAACGAGATGCGAGTTACGATGAACAAAGCGATCAACCCAGTGATATCCGAGCTGCTTCTGAGCTAGCTGCGACGCGATATTTCGAATGATACTCCGTGTGGGTGCTAGGCCTCGCTTAGTGAGTCTATCGATATAGTCGATAAGCTCAGCTTCATGTTGTGGGTGGACTGCCTGCTGGTTTTGTGCAGCTGCTTGTCTGGAGCGAGAAATACCTCGGTGGCGGCGGCTCAGCGTTCCTGGGTCAACACCATATTTTTTTGCAATTTGAGAATACACAAGTTTTTCATTAGGCTTCAAAGCGTTAATAGCAGCAAGCGCAGCGTCAATTGATTGCATTGTGGTCACGTTATGGGTGGTTGAAGTGGATGGAATAATTGGTGTTGGAGGACGTAATCCGGCGTTGGCCCGTCCGCGGCGTTGGCCCGTCCGGCACCTCTACTGTTTCATCACGCTCAAACCGCCTAGCAGTTGCGATAACTTGGCTGAACAACACTCAGCCCAGAACTTTGTTAATAGATGTTCAATATAAGGACATGTATAGTAGAGTTGGAAGTGCGTAATACGGAAATTCGAGGTGATGAGTGTAACACAGAGAGTCGGGATGATGAGCGCAGAGAGCTCACTGCAAGGCTACCATTGCGTGACACGACTTCAAATGCCTCAGTGGCACCATTTTGACAATGTACAATGCAGCCAGACGCGCGTCGGCTATAATTCAGGAAGCCATCGACACGTCTCTGACAGCCTTGACACACATGGCCAGCTCGCATCCCCGACCGTGCCCACCCCGCAGAACAGAAGAGCTCCACTACCCGCCAGGCGTGCAGGGCAGAAGGCAGTGCATTCGCCCATACACTGCCAAGATGGTGCCAGGGAAATCTAGAATCCGGTTTCAGTCTGTCTGGTTTGAGGCACCAAGTGAAATATACGAGGATAATGTGTGATTAGCAGTGATCCTGAACAAGCAAGGCGTTGTATTGCGTACATACGTTTGGCTTGTCGACATTTATAAGGCAACGTCCCGGCGAGGCCCTAAGGTATTCCGTTCTTCAGCCTCAAAAACACCAAACTACATTTCTCTTCTTCATATTCACTCTTTGTCGCAGTGCGACTTTTACCATCTCACACATCCATTTCGACTTTTCCTTGGACTACCGCGACTGCTACTCTACTCGAATACTCTCGAACCCAACCATAATCACCTAAACACTATTTCCAAAATGAAGTTCACCATCGTCGCCACCATCATCTCCATGGCTGCTTTTGCCATTGCTGCTCCCATCGCTAGCGAGGGTACGTCTCCCTGTGCAATTCCTTAGAGATGAGAAAGGAAGAAGCTAACAAGATGCATAGAAGTCGCTGCCCGTCAGAACCACGGAATGTGCGTCAAGTCTGACAACGGCGAGATTACCCAAATTCCCAACTGCTAGATGTGATACCCCAGGAGTAGAAGGATAAGACGGAGTGTGGCGATAGGAGGACTGGGGCGGAGGTAGAGAACTAAAGAGTAGAGACAGCCTGTTACAAACTCAAATATAATATTCAAAGCACTTAGGCTGCGCCCATTGACAGACCACAAATCATCCATGGCAACAGAGTCAGTATTTTCTACATACAAACTATGCGTTCAGTGATATCGAACGTGATTAGTTGGTGCTCTAGAGCTTAAACGTATTCCCCCTCATAAGACAACGAGACATGTCAGAAGCGTCAAGCAGAGGTAGCGATGACAGTCTTCACCCTTGTAGCTACAGCGCTACCACCCGTCAAGCGCTAGTCGCCGTTTTTGTCGGGGTACATGTTCGCCCACCTGGGTTGATCCTTCCACGTTTCGCGATTCCCATAGTCGGCATGGCGCCGAAACGTAGGCGCTTGGAATACGATGGTTTCATTTGGGGGCTCTGCTTCCTTGGGTAGCTCGCCTAAGGACTGAGCGTGAGATGAGCTATGGTTGAAGTGTGTGTGTCGGAGAGAATAGGCAAAGTCTACACTTTGGATCCCCCGCAGATACTAGCTGTGTTCAGCAAAAGCAGCAGTAGTAATTCTTGGCCAATGTAGTCATCCGGCTGCAACTACTCGTGCTAGACTGGGCCAACAATGCCTCAGTTTAGTTGGCGTTGGAATGTGTGTGCTATAGCGTTGGGGAAACCAGACTAACAAGTTCTAACCACCCGTTATGGACAGGTGATGGGCTAGACAGGTTGACCGTTGCTCATATTCAATAAGACTAAGTAGACCCTGCGTTTTCTGCTTCGTTGCAAATTGGGACTGGAACCCCACCATCGACGTCCAAGACTGCAACATGTGCCATTGACGGTAGTATATTTGCTTTTCCCCGTACTGCACCAGTGGGACGTAAATGCGGAGCTCGAGGCCCCGTGACACACCAAGCGATGGCGTCAGTACACAGGACCGACCTATGGGCATCCTGTTTCCAACAAGCGAGATGATCGTCCCAAGGATTCACGAGTCGAGCGAACTGGTTGCATCTCCGTGGATTGCAATGACTGACAGCACCTGTCTGCCTCGACGCGTTGCATCTTGGTCCCTGCGAAGACTGCTCCATCTCCAAGTCCCCAGGTTCCCATGCGCAACGGAAGCAGATTCACATCGCGCCCGCTCCCCTTTAGCCATTCCCCGTGCGCGCAATGCGTGTCTAGACGCAGCAAAAGGAGCGGTTGTTGTGTTCCGGCGCAGTATGACGTTGCCCAAGACAAAAATGCCAGGCTTTGAGGCCAATCTTCAGCCACCGGCCCTCTTCAGAAACGGCGCCCCTACCACGCCTTAAAGACATGTTTATCGTGAACTGCACTCAGGGCACACTCCTACGGCTTCAATTCGGCGTCTTCCATGGATAAGCTAAAGCTCAAGGCGCGTACGGCGCGCAGCAGGCTCGCTGGTGCTTCTTCGTCTGCACCTGACACGCCTGAGCAGACCGCCGCTCCACAACAATTACCCGTACCACAACAAAACTCTAGCACACATGCCCTCCACGAGGGCACTTACGCCCGGGACTTTGGTCTGCCCGCCGACCAACAACCACAGCAGCCCATCGTCGAGCCCCCTACTTCATTGGAGTCGTCCATTGACGCGGGCAGCCATGTACCCAAGCCCTCCAGGGTCAGCGACCCATCGTCGCAGGTTACATACCAGTGAGTTTTGGCCTTGGCGAAGTAGCAAGGCGTAATAGCTGACATTCATCGAGGACGCTTGCAGCACAGAGAGCAAGGAGCAACTCTGCGCCAAACAGAGGAACACCGTCATTCCAGCAATACCCACGCCGACCCCAAGCTGCCCGCCAAACGAGCATTGGTATCCGTCGCATGCCCTCGTCGAGTCCCCTGAGACAGACCGTTCAAGCACCAGCTTCATCCACCCCGAGAGCAGGCACGCCCTTGCCTGCGCTTGACGAAGAGCAAGAACTAGGTCAGCTCCCGTCCAACAGCAGCCAATCCACCCTCACCCACACCAATTCGGCACCCGATCAGACTCGCTTGCGGAGAATAAAGAGCGCTGTCCAGCTTAGGATACCATTCTGGGGTAAGAAGGATGAAGAAAAATCACCTGCAGCCGGCCCCAGTGCCACCACCGCCCAAGACGACGGAGCAACCAACTACAGTTCAGGCATGGTCGACGTCTTGGATACGCTTGACCCTGAGGTTGCGACCCTCACGTCTTTGACAAATATGCAGAATTCACTCTTCATTCCCAACCTGCCCTTTCTCAACCGCCGACCTACTTACAACCTGCGTCGACGAAAGAGCGAGACGGAGAGCCTCGAGGAGATCAACCGCATATTGCAACCTGCCTTGGCTGCTCAGGGGCAACAAGCCCCCCCAACTTTGCAACGCTCTCCAACTCAAACTACAGCGATGACCATGATGACAATAGACTCGCAGCTGACGAATTCACGATATGCCGTGCTTCCCGAGAATACTGACTTGTCTGGATGGAGCGTGGCTGATAAGAAGGAAGTCAACGATCACGTGCGACACATGCTTCATTCACGGCGATCCAAGCTGAAGCGCTCGCTCAAGGGCTTTGGACATTACGTTCGCAGACGTAAGTACATGCATTATCACACATTTGGTATTATTTCTCACATGCCACAGCATTGGGTTTCCTCGTCACTCTCTATGCAACGCTCATCACATTATTCGGTCTGGCCTGGGTGCTGTTCTTGATTGGCTGGATCAATGTCGGTGGACAGCAGATTTATGTCGTCCACATCATCGACAGCGTTTTGGTTGCCCTCTTCGCAATCGTCGGAGATGGTCTCGCTCCTTTCCGCGCCGTAGACACCTACCACATGATCTACATAGCACACTACCACCACTACACCTGGTCACGTCGAAAGAAGGACATGCTGCCTGCTCTAGCCGACCACAATGACCTGCCTGCCGAGCACGCCCCTGTATCTGGACCCAGAACTACCGATCCTAACGACCCAGAGAAACAATGGGAGTTTACCGTCTTGACACCTAAACAGCAGGAGAAGCTCGAACATCACCAGAGCAAGTTCTGCAAATCGCACTCCTTCTATAAACCCCACGAGACAGAGACCCACTACGCGTTTCCTCTTCGTTTCCTGGTCGCCATCGTTGTACTGCTGGATTGCCACTCACTCCTCCAAATCTCCCTCGGCGCATGCACATGGGGTATCTACTACAAGAACCGACACTTTGCCATCACTACTGTCATTCTCATTTGCTCTATCACCTGCAATGCCACAGCCGGTCTTTTGATCTGGCTTGGCGACAAGAGGACGAGGAAGAAGGACGTCCTGGAGCGCATGAATAGACAGGAGCTCACGGAGGAGGCGATTAAGGAAGTGCAGAAGAAGAAAGAGAAGGAAGGCGAGAGCAGCAGTGACGAAGCCGGCAAGGAGTCAGAGAAGAGGAAGATTAGTATGGATGCCTTTAGGCCCAGGAAGAGTATGGACAAAGGGAGGGCGAAGGAGCCGGGCCAGACTGAGCAGAGCGCGTATCCTTGAATGATTTTCATTGCATATCGTAATTATCTAATAGTCCTCTTGTTCAAGCGTACAAGCGTTGAGATACCAATCTTGCCTCTTAATGTCAGACTTTACCATCTAACCATTCCTTCTCTTTCAACTTGCATCCACGTTACCAATTGCTCCATAGCAGGAATATATCTAAGCTCTCTTCTTCTGATGGAAGTGTCAAACGTAACTGATGTCTGACTTGGTCGGAAACAGCATGTAAAGAGCATTGCATACCACTATATATCCGCAGCATCAGTAGAACAGGACGAACATATGAATATGTGTTTTCCTACAGTATTATAATCTCGCTGTTGGATGAAAGGGTAGATTTGGGAAAGGCCTAGTCCAATCAAGACTCACCTAGTGCAGGAACGTTACGATAAATGAAACATGTGTTGCATAATTGTATCTTTGGATTATCAGAATGAAAAAGAACCTATGGCGATGAAATTGCACACCTCAGAATGATAATCTTATACTCGGCTCGAACGTCTTGCGGTGAACTGAAAACATCCCTATATTGCCAATCCAATAGACCTAGCTATAGCCTACAACACAATTGCTCAAGCTGCCCCACTGGGACCAGACTAACATTCAATGTTTCTGAAAGCGGGGTTAACGATAAAGCGGAAGGAACAAGGCAAATAGCGTTGCAGGCAGTCGTGGTGATACGTTATTCCGGTCACGGGACCACGCGTTGCTGTGTACTTCTACGAGGAAAGAGCAACACCTGTTTTGTTCTGCCCCGTATCCCCGCTCCTCTCACTTTCATCACTCCCCTCCTACCATCAAGGAAGTCTCAGTGCAGAACTTGCAAAGAAACTTCTCACTCTGAGACACACCTGTGTTCTCAAACCTTACCAGCCTCATCCTTTTCCATCACAATCAATCGTTCAACTGACATCATGGGTGCCTGGGGCTACTGTAAGTGAAGGTACCATTCAGCAAGGTACGCTTTTGGGCTGGCATTGCCCTAGGTCTCTTCCAGTCCGATCATGACTTCGACATGCTCGGTGAGATGAGCCACGAAGCCGGCCTTACCAAACTCGAGGAAGACGCCCAAGCTCGTGCAAAAGCAGAAGGTAAGAGCGACAAGGAAGTGAATTCCATCTGCTATACCATCTACGGCAACGATTGCTCAGATCCTGAGCTTGTTCGCAAGCACCTCGATTCAGGCGTCCTTGTCGACATGATTGCAAAGAAGGAATCGAAGATGCTATCTAAACTCACCGGATCCCTGGATCAGAGGCTCGATTACTTGGCTCGGGATCCTTACTACGCATACGTCCTGCTCGGCGCATGTGCCATGACACTCGGCTGCTAGCTTCCTGACGCTTGTGTTAGCATGCTGAAGAAAGTCTACATTGAGGGTGGGCTCATGCCGGATGCGCAACGTCAGATGAGGAGGGCACTCTTTGGTCCGGGTGGCTACAAGAATGGTAAGCCTTACGATTTCAGGTCCAAAACACTCTTGGAGACTGCCAATTCTCCTGAGATCGAAGAGCACGACGTTAGCCCCTAGGTTTTCGTTCGTTGAATGTCCTCAGCCCAGGTGGCCTCTTCGAGACCGGTATGACCACATCGACAACGTCTCTGATCTTGAAAGAACTTCGGGCACAGCTCAACGAGCCTGATGCATGCGGTGGTTGTGGTGCGGAGCACAGAGCTGATGGCAAGGCTCTATTTATGTGTTCCAAGTGCCACAATCGAAAGTACTGCTCCATCGAATGCCAGAAGAAGTCCTGGAAGGTCCACAGGAAGGTGTGCGTGCCTCCAAAGGCTTCTGCCTAGGCATCCGGCTGCGACGCTGTGGCGACGAAAACAGTGTCTGCTATCACTTCCAAGGCCATTACAACTACCGCCGCCATGTTATGGACATTTTGAGGGTGATCAACGACTATATCATGCTGGTATTCTAGTGGTGGATGTCATACCAAGGTGTCGCTATTCGAGAACCATGTGTAATGACTTGAAGCTGTCTCTCACTACGAGACATGATGAGGGGATGGAAGAGTGCAATCCAACGAAACGTTGGTATGATTACTCTATATAAATAGGGCCTTTCCGCTACATTAGCTATACACCTCAATGAATCTTTGCAATCACATTCAATTCTTTCTTTGTATTCATGAGTGAATGCCTACAAGATAAATTATTTTGTCGCATGGTATACCAATGTAAGACGAGTTTTTTCAAGTCGTCCATGGATCGCAATCACATCTTAAGTAGCTCAAATCTTTACGTTTCGAGTACAAAGGCATAGCACACACATCACATATGAACATACTTGACTGAGCGTAGTCGATTGCTCAATTTCCGATCCTGAAGGAGTGCGATACTACTTCAAGAATTTCTATGATGTGCATATACGAATGCGCAACAACTATTGTGATATCCTGACGGGAGTTAGAAAAAAAAGTGGAATACAACGCCGATATCTGCAATGCAGTGCAGTGCAATGCAATCGCTCTTTGAACCCGAAACGCCCCCCCGAACCCATGAATAGTGTTACATTTATCATCACAGGGATGACTGTTGGAGGAAAATCCAGTTGATGCCACGCACATAGCCGCAGTATACATAGCAAAACCATCCCTCTCCACACAACGTCCTACACGCACATGCACGAGCGCGCTAAACGGGGGTGTGATCAAGCCATACCGAAAGAGCGACAAGAGCACTACTGCAAACCCGCCTTGTTCGTCTTGACTGTGTGAGGAATAGGTTTCAAAATACCCTTGTTATCCCCAGCACCAAGAGCGGTACCCGTAGACCACCCCATCTTCATCATCAACGCGTGACCCCTGTTCTCAGGTCCCAGCTCCGGAGCATTTGCACCGACCGTCTCGCCATCCTTGTAGCCTAGCTGAGGCCGGCTACGCGTACCGCTCTGCTTGTGCTTGACGGTCGAGAATCTGCCTGCGCGTCCGGCACCACTAGCACCCTGAGGGTAGAGAGGGCCACGCAGACGCTTCTGGAAGCCTTTCTTTTGGATGGCCATATCGAATTCGTTGTCTGTGTATGTGCGGGTCCGGGAGGTCTTGGAAAGAATGGTAAATCTGTCCATGCCGTCGCCGCGGGAGCGAGAGCTTAGGTTAAAAAATGCTGCGGCTTGGTGAACGGTGGCGCGACGATAGGCCTCCATGGGAGGTAGCGAGAGTGTATCTTTGTCGCCCATTAAGAACTCGCGTATTTCTTCAACGATGTCTTCCATGTCGATGCCGCCCTGGTATTTGACCTTAAGGTTGGGGCCTTTGCCCTTTCTACCCAGCAAACCCTGCTGGCGTAGCTCCTCACGCTCCGCCTTCTTGAGGCGCTTCTTTGCTCTGTCGGCCTCCCAAGCGTTTTGGAGCTGCTCATTCAGATCAGAATCATCCAGTTCCGGTGGTGGCTGGCCGCGTCGACCTTTCTTTTTGGGCTTTAGTGAGGGTCGTTCGGTATCCATGATGTCGAAGCCGCCATATGGGTCCATTTCAAGAGCTGCAACCATTGCAGATGCTGATGGGAATGTCGGATCCTTGTTACCGCGCGCACGACCTCGCTGCTTCTTGTTCGGTTTGCCGTAACCACCGAAAGTCGACTTCTTGGTGGGGCCCGGTGAGTCGAAAAAGTCGTCAGCACCGTAGAGAAGCACTTCGTCAGCGCCTAAGCCGAGCTCTTCTTGTTTTTGTAAGATCCTAGCGATAGTCTCATCATCTAGTTCTTCAGCATATGCGTCTTCATCTTCATCATCTTCGTCCTCGTCGTCCTCGTCGTCATCCTCACCCTCATCGTCGTCATCTTCATCTATATCTTCATAATCATCTGCAGAATCGCTGCTTGCGAGCATTTGCTGCTCACGCTCAAAGGCCTCGGCCTCAAAAGCTTGAATCATTTGCTTCTCAGCAGGGCTTTTGAGAAACGTAGCTGGCAGCCAACGAGCGTCATCGGTGATAGAACCTTCGTAGACGCAAAGATAATGAAGGCCAGATTTACGGGTCCGTTTGGACAGGATGCGTACAACGGTATCCATGACGTCGGATGAGGTGCTCATGTCCTCGAAATCTCGCAGCATATCCGAGTTCCAGTCTTCACTACCTTGATCGTCATCTCCGCCGTCTTGACTTCCAGATGCTGATTCCCAATCATTGTGGCTGCCTCTATCCAAATCCATTTCGCGACGAGCAAAACCAGATGCAGCTAACATATCGTCGGTAAAGCCAAACTCCTCAACATTTTGCATGTAGTCATCCATGGCCGCATCACGCGAATTGGTATTGTCATGCAGGAGAGCTTCCATATCGGGACGGTCTGAAACGGGTAGCCACCCAATTTTGGGTTTACTGCGGTGTTGCCACTCGGTGGTGGTACCCTCCCAGGCAGGTTTATCACCCCTCCGCTTTGCAAACTGACTCTGATCTACATCGTCAGGATCCGACACGGTCTCTTCTTGGACCTTAGATACACTGCTCGTGCTGATGCTGAGCTCTACAGATACTTGGGTAGCAGCTGCCTCGGTTGGTGGTACAGATTGATCACTTGTAGAATCCTTTGCTGTAGTGGTGACCGGTGGTGCTGGAGTTGTGTCCGCAGTAACAACAGGTGCAGCTGGAGGCTGAATACACCGCCCTCTGAAGAGGACCTCATCGGTACTTGACGAAGCATCTGAAGGTGCAGGCGATGGACTGCGAATAGCCATCTGTGCCATGGCTTCAGCGTTGTCTAGCGTGGGAGATGGCAAAGAAGGCGCAGCAGACTCCGAACTGGACTGGGAGGGGTCTTCTTGGGCAGGCTTGACGTCGGGCAAGTTCTCCTTCAGGGTACCTTGGAGATGTCCAGCGCTTACGAATTGAATCGGCATGTGACGTAAATTGTTGCCTTCTTTGAAGGCGGTAGTCCGGTGGTTTGACACCCAACGGGCCTCATCCTTAAGAGTGAATTTAGATGCGATTGCTGCTGGCACAAACGTATCCTCGTCGTGGAGGGCCCATGATTGCAAAGAGCGTTTGGCGGGCGCACGGTGCGGAGTGCTCTTCGCTGAGCCGCCCTTGGCCTTGGTCTTGCCCTTCTTCTTTCCACGGGACATTGCTGCAGAAGTGCACCGGGTTTGCAGGGTGAGCGATGTGGAAGGGAGTGGTGGCGACACAGCGGCGACGGCAAGGTTGAGCTTTGGATTAAAGATGATGCGCACTTCCTAGTCCACTTGGCGGGGGGGACGGTGGGGGGCTAGTCGGAGCTTATGACAATGCGCCGATTATGCAAGCTCGCAGTGCAAGCCCCAAGCTGAACAAGACAGTGGTATATAGAGTGCGTTCGTGGGCTGCTCTCTGGACAGCTTGGCCCATTTTTGGATAGACAGCCAGCGACGGGCGCATGTAGCAACACGTGACTGGTTGCAAGCTGTCATCCTGTAAGACGTAGGCAAGTACAGTCTAGAAGCGTGTCGGAGCTCGGGATAGCCCAGATGATAGCCAGGTGATAGCCACCCCTCCCCCGCCACAACCTTGGTAGAGCCGCATATGACCTGGAGCTCGCCGCAGCTCCCACTCCACATTCTGCATTCCATATCGCACAGGGGCTCCATCTTTGTTGCAAGACCGCCGTTACTACTCAGATATCCAGTGCGAATACCCACGGCACAATACCAACACACATGTAGCCAGCTCTAGGCAACCTCATCTCGGACCTCCGCATCACCTCCGCACCCAACGGCCGCCTAGGCCCTACCACCACCCACGACACTACCTACCCATCATGCACGACTTTGAGCGCGTCAGCCGCAACATCGTCCGCACCTTCTACGACCCTCCACCTACAAACGACTCCAGCGAACCCATATGGCTGCTGGGCCAGCGTTACGATCCCCGCCCGCCACCAGCTAGGCCTCCGCCTAGCGATGCCGCGGCCGCCGACGAACCCACTCCACCGTCCGAACGCAACGAGGACGAAAGCTGGATACGCACAAGCATCGATGTCTCTGAACGCAAGGAAGCTCCAAATGGCGAGGATCCCGCACAATACGGCAACTGGCCCTCAGCATTTCTTGATGATTTCGAGTCGCGCATCTGGATGACCTATCGCTCAGGCTTCACAGCGATACAGAAGAGCCAGGATCCAAAGGCAACAAGCGCTATGAGTTTCCGTGTTCGCATGCAGAATCTGGCATCCCCAGGCTTTACCTCTGACACGGGTTTCGGCTGCATGATCAGAAGCGGGCAGAGTATCCTGGCCAACGCACTGCAGATACTACGCTTGGGCCGCGACTGGAGATACCAGGACAAGCCCACCGCTAAAGAGCACTGCGAGATACTTTCCCTATTTGCCGACGACCCGAGAGCGCCTTTTTCCATTCACCGCTTCGTTGAGCACGGTGCCGCCGTCTGCGGAAAGTACCCTGGCGAGTGGTTCGGCCCTTCCGCAGCGGCGCGGTGTATTCAGGATCTGGCCAACAAGCACCGCGAGGCTGGCTTGCGAGTCTACGTGTCTGGCGACGGCGCGGATGTATACGAGGACAAGCTGAAGGAGGTTGCCATAGACGACGATGGCGAGTGGCAGCCTACACTAATCTTGGTCGGCACTAGGCTAGGCATCGATAAGATCACGCCTGTTTACTGGGAGGCGCTAAAGGCGAGCCTGCAAATGAAGCAGAGCATAGGCATTGCAGGGTGAGGCACAATACAGAGCCGTTGGACATGTTTTGCTCGTTTGTTATGCTAATCTGACACAGTGGCCGTCCATCCGCTTCGCATTACTTTGTCGCTACGCAGGGAAATAACTTTTTCTATCTCGATCCCCATAGCACTCGTCCCTTGCTTCCATATCGACCGCCCCCATCGTCTAACGAGAATGAGAATGAGAGTGAGAAGCAGAATCAGAATCAACTAGCAGTCCCGTCCAGCTTAGACGCCTCAGCTACCTCGAACTCATCCTCAACAACCATCGTTCCCTCTGCAACGCCCACGGATGATTCTGACCGGACTACATACTCAGAAGAAGAGCTAGCCACATGCCATACACGTCGCATCCGACGGCTCCAAATCCGTGAAATGGATCCCTCCATGCTCATTGCCTTCCTCATCACCTCGGTGGATGAGTACGAGAACTGGAAAGAAGGCGTCCGTAGCGTACAGGGGAAAAGCGTCGTGCACGTGCAAGACCAGGAACCAATGCCTAGAGGCCAGGAGAGAGAAGGCGCGGTTGACGAAGTGGAGAGTTGGGATGAAGACGGCCTGCAGTAGGAGGTCGGGTGTGGTGCTTAAACTGGCGTTCGGGGAGCTTATGACATCATTCGAATGCTTGCATTTTTGGAGTTGGATCGCGGGATCTGGACTGTGTATATCTGTAGATCCTATATCTTATGAGCAATCAATGTCGCTGTTGTTTGTAGTCGCATATATCATGTGAAGCTGGGAAATCCGTAAGTGTTATGGTGGATATTCCAATTGCTGCACGGGCCGCTCTGGAATGGTTTTTTTGGGAATGAGTTCCTAAATAGCAGATGAATTAAAACAATCAAAATTGAAAAACGGGAGAGCAAAGTGCGTGAAGTTGGAAATAATTGATTCGTTTCCGTCTGTTGTGGTATAATGTACAGACCCAGATGGACCTCGTAGTCAAAGATGACTATATGATTCGATGACAGACAAACCGACCCATGATCACATTAGCAAAGGACCCGTGAACACCGCACCCCGTAACCACTTGTCATAGTGGCAAGAAAGACCCAAAGAAAACATCCAGCGAAGAAAAAGCACTCTATTTGGTGGATGAAGAGTACTTGGTGACGGCCTTGGTACCCTCAGATACGGCGTGCTTGGCAAGTTCACCGGGCAGGATCAGGCGGACTCTGCAATTCATGTTAGTGGATGCAATTGAGTGCGATTGTGAAAGGCGGTGAAAACGTACGATGTCTGGATCTCACGCGATGAGATGGTGGACTTCTTGTTGTAGGCAGCGAGCTTGCTAGCCTCGGTGGCAACGCGCTCGAAGATGTCGTTCACGAAGGAGTTGAGGATGCTCATGGCACGGTTGGAGATACCAGTATCGGGGTGGACCTGCTTGAGGACTGGAAAGACGCGTCAGTAAATTTTGCCTTGTGAGAGCGGAAGATGCGGATGCATTGAGATCACGCGATTCGATTGCGTGCCGCGCTTATGACGCGCAAATGGGCCAAACTTACCCTTGTAGATGTAAGAAGAGTAGGTTTCCTTCCTGGTCTTGGTACGCTTCTTCTTGTCACCAGAGGGAGCGGCGGTCTTCTTGCCAGCCTCCTTCTTCTCAGCGGGAGCCTTGCCGGCTGGGGCCTTGCCGCCGGTGGTGGGAGTCTTCTGGGCTTTAGGAGGCATTTTTGGAGATTTGGACGGTGGAGATTGGGAAAGTGGGATCTGGATTGAAAGCAGGAGCTTCGAGTGAGATGAGGAAGGTAAAGTGTCGTGGGTGGGTGTCGAGATGGATGAAGGGAAAGGTCGTCGACGGCGGGGGGACGCGCTACTTATGGGGAGCGCGCTCGCATGTTGTGATCCAGCAGCGCCTGGGAGGCCCGTGCGGAGGGACGCTGGCCGCCTTGCCTGTTCGGTGGCTAGGCGAGGGCGGCGAGTGATCTTGCGTCGACTTGCGGCAGGCGCTAGCCGGCGTTGCTGCCCTTTGGCGCGCTAGCGTGCGCAGGTTGATCTCGCGCACTCGCAACACGCCAGCGCCGTCTTTATAAGACGGCCCCGCCCCCCAACACCAGCAAGCAATCCATCGTCTTGATACTCCACGCCCACAACCCGCTCACCCACGCCGCTCCGTCCACACTCCCGTCTTTTTCGACTCCCACTTCCAAAAACAACCCCCAACCAAAACCTCATTCAAAATGACTGGCGGCAAGTCCGGAGGCAAGGCCAGCGGCTCCAAGTCCAGCGCCCAATCGTAAGTACCCACTGATTGCATCCTTTTCAACTTTTTGCCTTTACCTGGGCTTTGCGCCTTGTCCACTCTGGTGTTGCAATTTGTTTGCTTTTGACGCGTCTTTTATCTCAATTGACGCGTCTTTTTTCGCATCTCTTCAATATTACATCATTTGTTAACAGCCATTCCAGTCGTTCATCCAAGGCCGGTCTCGCTTTCCCCGTCGGTCGTGTCCACCGTCTCCTCCGCAAGGGCAACTACGCCCAGCGTGTCGGTGCTGGTGCTCCCGTCTACCTCGCTGCCGTCCTTGAGTACCTCGCTGCCGAGATTCTCGAGTTGGCCGGTAACGCTGCCCGCGACAACAAGAAGACCCGTATCATCCCCCGCCATCTCCAGCTCGCCATCAGGAACGATGAGGAGCTGAACAAGCTTCTCGGACACGTTACCATCGCCCAGGGTGGTGTCCTCCCCAACATTCACCAAAGTACGTTCATCGCATTCAGTCTCATCTCAGCAACCACTAACGCATTCTCCAGACCTTCTGCCCAAGAAGACAGCCAAGCCTGGCAAGGGTCCTTCGCAGGAGCTCTAAGCGCATTTTGCTTTTGAGTTTCTTCTTCACGGCGTGGTTACTTCATGGGTCTTTTTCGTCTGCAATGATAATGGGAGTCGGTCTGGGTTTTGGGTTCTCGGCTTTTCACGGGATTTATACCAGAGCTGTATATTAGCTGGTCGCTTTGATGACCACAGGCTCATGAGCTGAATCGAGCATATTACTTCACTGCACTATCTTTTGCCCTTGTTTTCATTTTCTTGCTCATTGACACATCTAATTCAAACTCGATTTTGTTTGCATCTGCTTCGCGCAACGTGGCTGGGCCATTGCCGTAGCCCGTCCGCTTTAGTGGTCGACTCCTGAGTGTGGGGTTGCTGTTTCTGGCGAGAACAGGTAGTGGCGCCGCCATGGTAACTGTGCATGAGGATTTGCAGCGCCCTGCATTATTGGCGGTTTTTTGTCGTTGAATCACGCAGCTCTCTCACCGCCAAATGAATTATAACCTCTGGATTTCATGGTCTACGGCACAAGCGCAGAATGAACTTGATTTTGGCGACATCAATGTCAATTTGCGTCATTGGATTTCTCTCCGAATCTAGGTCGATACTAACGTATTTGAGCGTACTCGCAATATTCTTGAATTTGATCATAGGTGCATTTGCAAGGCCGAATTGACTTGATGAACCAACAAAACAAATTCTTCTCCTTGACTACCTATGTGCACAGGCCGTAAACTACATGGAATTATGGCTATGGTTTACAAATAACTAGTACTGATCTTGCGTTGATAGTTGTGCGCGCTGTGGTTCGCTGGGAATGTTCTTGAAATACGCTAGCCTGTGACTGCACATGGCCCTTGCGGGATATTCTGTTCGATTTCTGCACGATTTCTGTACTACATTCAATGGCAATTTCCTCTTCTAGTACTTACCACAATTGGAAACTAAGAATTAAGCCACTGGCGAATCCCCGCTGGCATATGTCTTTTGGTTTATTTTTCCACATCTAAGCTACCAAGTCAATGCACATTGTGTAATTGTTGTAGGACTATTTTGATCATGTCTCAACGAATGCGTCTGATGTGAAATCAATGTTTTTTTTATGTGGAGCTTGATAATTCGATCTGCCGTGCATCGACTTTGGTTGTGTGCAGAGATGTTGCATACGTAGGCATTTGACACTACTACAGTGTAACCACGTACGAAGTATTACTACACAACATGTGCAGATAGATTTTTAGTTTAGATAGGTCAAAGCAATAAAATATCCTCATGAAATTATGAGTTTTGTAGTGTTTTTTGAATATTATTGTTGGATTTGTTGTTGGATTTGTATTTCTAAACAATTTTACAATGTTATATTGTACACTTTATTGTCGTACATCAAATCACACAAAAAATTATCACATCACAACCACAACCTGAATTAGTCCAAAAATCGAGATATATGCAATCATAGACTTTGAAATCTTACTTATGTATTTTTTTTAAGACAAAAAATACGAGTCGTCGTTATCCAGTTTTTTTTGAAGCTGAGGCACGTGAAGGGCAACCGAAGGGACTGCCCGGAGCTCTGTTGGCCCAAGCTGAGCCTAACCGGAAACCGGCCCCCGTCACAGGCACGACTGCCAAGCCCGCGACATCAACCCGCTCTCAGTACCTCACACGCACCCGCGACGCAATAGCGAGAGCCATTGCGGCCACGAACCACGTCTTGCATCGCCGCCATGAGCACCAAAACACATGTTCTGTAAGCGCTTCCGTAGCACCCGCCCGCATCGCCTGTTATGCACGCGCAGAAACTAATCAAGCCGCAGACGCCTCTACAGGCGGTCCCTCAAGCTCGCCCTCGACTGGAGCGTCCATCGATACCTCTGGCGCGGACAGGCTCTGTACATCCGTGAGCTTTTCGAGGCTAAGAGAAACGTTACCGAGCCTCGTCAAATGAGGGTGCGTCTCGCGATTCCCTCTACAAGCCGTACACACAATCACCTAGTTACCTATCTATCCACATACTCATACGTACCACAGCCCCGCCAGTGGCCATACTGATGAGATGTATAGGACTTGATCAAGGAAACAGAGGAACTCCTCGAGAAGTGGAAGCACCCCGACCCTTACCGCCCACCCACGGCCCCCGGAGGTTTGTTCCTCCCTACCAACCTGAATACTTTTTGTGTGTCGGCGCCACAGACATGGTGATACTGACTGCCCATAGGTTCAAAGTACGAGCGCAACCTGCCTTGCCCAATCACCGAACGTGAGTTTCTACCCCCAGTGTTCCGAACACAACCAGAATTAACCTTGATTAGCTCCACCAAAGATGATTTTGTAGTGTTTGCCATGAGGACTGTGTCCGGGTCAACTTGTACATATTACAGCGACAGTGCTACATAACAGTAGCACGCAATATCACAGTAAAAGAAGGACATGGCCCGTTTCGCTCATACTGCGCCTCTATCTCCAAGCGCTGCGCATTTCTTCTTTCCTCGTGTCATGATTATTGTGTCTAGATGAAACGCTAGTCGACGCTTTTATTAGGTCTGATACTTTCTTACTCTCCTCACAGTGTTCAAATATCCCATACTGTCTATCACGTGCTCTCTTTCCACCCAGAGCGGTACATCCCCAAGTGCCGTCTTTTGTGCCCTTTGCTGCACCCATGCGTCCTCCATATATGCCCACTCTGGCATTTCGCAGCAGCCTCCAACCAGGACTGTCCTTTCAGGTGAGATATTATACAGTAGCGACTCATGCGTCTTTGGTACCAGGACCTGCACTACCTTCTTCTCTGGATCGAAGCCGCGAATCAATGCAGTGCAAACCAACCTCGTTGTTCGAGGATCCAACGGCTGTACCATACCGAGTGATTCGGATTCCGGGAAGAAAGGGATCCGAAGCCTCTTTGTTCGTGGAAAAGATGTGTAAGGGGTTGGCACGATCGATGACGTCGACTGGACAATTTGGACAATAGAGCCATTCAGTGCATGAACCAACGAAGCAGGCTCGACGGGCTCCGAGTACATTGCGAAACCGACCAAATCTTGTGTCCGCTCATTAGTTTCTTCGTAACAAAACTCCCATGGTACGAGATGAGAGAGCGGTTCAGAACTCCAGCTCAGCCCTTGTGTCTGGCCAGGGTTCGCACTGCTAGATTTGAGGTGGAAGTAGGATTGCATCTGCATGGTGCACAGTTCTGCTTCCTTCCTCATCAGCGGCAATGGTGGTGGTTGTGCAGCAATCTCATGCACTGTGCCATGGTACTGCGACAAGATAGTCTGTAACACATGCAGTCTTGCCGCCGTCTCTGTGTCGATGGCTTGCGTGTCACCAAGATGGACCGTATTGTGTGGTTTCAGCCTTGCCAAGAGCTTATCGAGAAGGCCAGAGTGAGGCGAGCATAGGAAGCTAGGCGTGTCGACAATGACTGGCAGAGACGAATCTCGGGCATGAAGGTTGCGGTATGCCACGAGAAGATCCTCCACACACGCCTCATAATAGTCGGAATAATTGGTCAAGTTTGCAGGGATTGGGTGTGCGCGTACTATTTCGTCTGTGACCATATCTTTGGGTTCGGGTACGATTGATGGATGGGCGAAGCTTGGGCCCAGGTTCAGTTGTCTGACGATGACGAGAGATATCTGACCTCCAGGCGTATACTCTTGCTTTCTCGGATCAAGATCCATATAGCACACAGCTGGTACCGACGGGGCAGTCTTCCCTAGGCCTGTAAGGTAACGGTTAACGAGTCGCCTTGCAAATGTTGATTTCCCTGAACCCAATGAACCAGTCACTACGGTCATTGATGGGCTACCAGCACAATCCTCGATAGCGCGGAGCCAATCTTCGGGTGCCATTTCCGGGCACAACGGCCTGGAAAGAGTGTCGGCATCTGATTCAGTCACCTGGACGAACAATAGTCAGTTCGGATGCGAAGTATGAAGTTGATCCGGGATATGTTGGGTTGATGGACTGTATCTCGTATGTTTAAAAACAGGGGGTAGCACTTACAACACTAAATGTTTTTCCGTCTTGGGTTTGCGAATCGGTGCACCAGATATCATCAAAAAGTGGATTGACAACAGAAAGTGGCGCTGGTGCACTACACGACTGAAAGAGGACGTGATTGGTACCATCCAGTCCGCGAATCTTGAATATAGGATTGGTAGCTGGCACAAAGGTTCGATACACTTTGTTCTTCTGGCCGTCTCGACCAACGGTACCAATATTGGCGCCATTGATATGAATGGCGCCTCTCAGTACCGTGAATTCAAAGCAGCCAATGAGAGCAATAGTCGCATGCTTGTTCAAGTTGATGGTGAGCTCGGTATCGGTTTCTGAGATTATGTTTTGTGGGTCGTTGCGCCAGTTGCAAAGTTTGAGGTTGCGCTGTACGGGCACATTTTCCTCATCCGTGTCTGAATGTTCATGCTCTGGCTCTTGATCTTCTAGTAGCGGACTTTCTGGTACAGAAATTTGCTCAAGTGTGACTTCTGGTGCTTTCACGACTTTGGCTGCCGCTTCCGTTCTTAGGCGAGCTGCTGCAATTGCGGTAAGCGGTTTTGCGCTCGTGGCATCACGTGCGCCAACTTCCTCCCCTCTCTTTCTTTTTCCGGACATTTGGAGTGCTAGTATGGATATTGGTGTAATGACCCCGGCTGTTGGCATCGAAGGACCGAGACGAATGGGTTTTGTCTGGGTTGCGGCGCACGCGGTCTGAAGTAGTTTAGCGTCAATGTGGCTGGAGGTCCGCGCGCAAAAAGTTCCAACTGAACTCACCAACTTTCAAGGCGCAAAGAATATAGCTCAACACACACCATGAAGGACGTAAAGAAAACAAAGGTACCGCTGCCTGGCGCGAAGCCGAACCGAAAATCTCAGAGCGCCCCGCCGAAAGCACAGTTGAGCCAGGAAACAATCGATACCGACAGCGATTCTGCCAGCGAAAGCACGGCGCGACCGAAGAAAATCGAGAAGCCAAAAGCCACCATTGGCATTCATGTGAACGGTGTACCCAAGCCAAAGACCAAGCCTAGCAAGACAGACGCAAATGATTCTAATTCTGCATCGAAATCCAAACCCTCCCCCAAAAAACCGGCGCCGAAGCAAATCGTGACGGAACGCGATGTTGCAGACCTTTCGAGCTCTGAGGTCAGCGATGACGATGCGCCAGCCCGAGACATACAGACCAAGCTTCCAGGAAACGAGGCGAGGAAGGATGCCTCGAGCGACAGCGAGAGTGAAAGCGAGAGCACAAGCAGCTCAGAGAGTTCTAGCGACGAGTCAGATACTGATAATGCGCCGCAACCGAAACGCAATCCAGCACCATCGCAACCCCAGACACAAGCACCAACGCAGTCGCATGCGGTAGAATTTCAACCAACCAGGGCCTTTGTGCCCCCGAAAGGATTCAACCCTGTGCCGCTGAACGACAAGACCATTTCGAGATCATCGACAGGCTTGTTTGAAAACTTGGAAGGGAAGCAAGTATGGCACATTACTGCTCCCGCCGGTGTTTCTTTGAGAGACCTTAAGGAGCTTGCAATGGAAAAAGTCAAGGGTGGAGAGGTGGTTTTGAGCCACAATGGGAATGACTTTGGCTTCTCCCAAATAAACAAGAGTGAGGCTGGTACACGACAAGTTTTCGTGCCTGGAAAGGATGGCATGAAGCCTGGTTTGTCCACCTATTAGTGTTGATATAACATCAATTGACTGTCGCAGTGCCTGTCCCGATAACACAGAGTCTGCGTTTACGGCGCATTATGCAACTACCCAAGCTCAGCTCGCTACAAGCTGACCAAAATACCGGCTCAGAAGCAGCAGCTTCAATAACACGATCCACGATTCGAGCACCACGACCCCAAGTCAAGGGCCTGAAAATGCGCTTCCTTCCTACCGGCTTTACCGGCAATGACCCAGGAACTATCGGCGACTCAGATGACGAGCCTGAGCCAGCTCGGGAAATCGCTGTGCTCGGAATGCCAGAGTCTAGTAAATCTTCTAAGAAGCAGAAGAGGAAGCACGCCGATGTAAACGGCACGGAGACAAGTGAGGCACCCGTGAAGAAGAGCAAAAAACACCAAGATTCTGAAGAGGCTAAGCGGAGGGCGGAGAAGAAGGCTAAGAAGGAGAAGAAGCGGGCAAAAGAGGCGGCTTCTGTGGGTTCATGAAGGTAGCCTGGGGCATATTGTAATTGAAAGGTACATATGAAGGGAGTGTTTCCTGGAGCCTTTGATAGCATGCAGTGAGCATGTGAACAGAAATGCGAACAGGAAGCGTCAGAGGAGGGGGCAGCCTGCATGGCTTGCAATGCACTCATGAAATTGCAAGGGGATGTTGAAGAGAGGCCCGTGGGTTGTTGGTGTTGAGGTGGTAGCGATGTGAGAGGGATGCTCGTGCTGCGAGCGGGTACATTACATAAGCCAGGACAGCAAAATACATAGCAAATGCCTCCAAGGCCTGTAACGAGTTACTTTGCCAGCGGCATTGCTGTTGTCGAACACCGGGCTGGGCAGAGGATGCGGGCGTGGTTAGTGGATGTTAAATCCGGGCAGTTTGGCTGTTTTGGGCGGCAGGGCAGTACGCATCCGGGCCCCTGGTAGTTCGCGATGACGGATTGACACTAGCGGCTAGGGCTAAACAACGCGCGCTCTGTTGTCACAGGCGAGCCAGGCCATCACCGCAATTGTCGTGAATCTTTGCTTTGACCGCACCATGCGAATGAGCAGGCCTCGCAGCTCTTGTATCCCACGCGACTGCCCTGACCGCTGTTGCTGCTGCTCCTGCGCGTGCATCTGCCGTCATGGCCCCTCCGTCCAACGACGCTTCCTCGTTCCATGCTGAGCCCTTGCAAACAAAGAGCAACTCCACACTCCCGACTCCCTTGCCCACGCCCACCGACAACGAGCACATGGCACATCATAAATTCCACGACGACCATGATGATACCTTTGACTTGCCCGACTCAGACCTGCCGCCGCTCCCCATCGGCGACGAGGACGACGACAGCATCATACCCCGTGTAGTCGGTGAAGAGGACGCGAACCAGGAGAGCGTCTTCGACGATGGCGAAATGAAGCGCCAATTAATGGACATTGAATCAAGTTTCATCCCAGAAGCACCCATCCACGCCGAAGCAACACAGTTACTGCCTGGTGCCGACGATACGTACCTATTCGGTGGCTCGCCGGGCAATTCGCAGCAGTCATCTCGTCCAGCCCACGACGACTCGGCCATGCGCCGGGTCATGGACACGCTCGAGGAGATGACAAAGCCCAAGAAGAAGCCCAAGAAGCTCGAGGTGCGCAGTGGGCACACACCGACCCAGTCGCAGAA